CCCCTCCCCACCGTCCCCCACCTGAGGCAGGCGTCCAGCAGGTCCATGAAGGCCGCGTCAGCGCAGCGCAGCACGCTGTACAGCGTCTTGGTGGCCGGCGTACGCACCTTGCCTGGGGGGTGTGGAAGTATAGAAGTGGCGGTAGTTACACGGCTGATGCAGGGGCGCGACGCCGCCGCGGCCGTGAAGCGAATAGGAGTTGAAAGAAAGCAGCAAGATGGCCTCAAAGCAGCCAGGCTGTCCGCTATCGCGCATGAACGCGGGTGGTGGATGCAGCGGCGCCGCCGCCCGGCGACCCTGGGTTGACGGCAATCGCAGCCGCGGCTGCAGCTCCAAAGCTCACCCCTGCTGTTCGGCTGGATGCGCGGCGACCCGGCGGAGTCAAAGAACATCTTGCGGCGCGAGGCAGAGTCCACCAGGTGGCGCGGCGGCAGCCCCATGACCTCCATAATACACAGCAGCTGCTCGTGCTCGTCCTCGCCTGGGGGAGGGGGGGAGCAAGATGCGGGCGGTTGACTTCACCGTTGACTCCTAATGGGTGCGTGCGCATGCCAGTGCAGCATGCAGCAGCCGTGGCAGCACCAGACGCCAGCTCAGTGCGCTGGCCTCAGGTTAAGGTTTGGGACATATGCTAGGAAGAATACAGCGTCCCGCGGCCGCCCGCTGCCGCTGCTGGAGCAGCTCAGGCTTGTCGGCTGGAATTTGAAGTGTCAATGTTGCGTGGACGAGAGCCAAGCGGCGTTGCAGCATGCGCACGAGGGCAGGAACAGCCGCGCTGTCCCGCCCGGCGGCGGCTTTGCTGCGCCCGCCGGTCTGGTCTCGTCCGGCCCGCCCACCCGGGAAGAGGGGGTACCCAGTGAGCAGCTCCGCCAGGATGCAGCCGAAGGACCACATGTCGATCTCGCAGCCGTAGGGCAGCCCCAGGATGACCTCGGGGCTGCGGTAGAATCTGGGGCGAGGGGGGGAGGGGAGGGCGCGAGGCGCCGGTCAGCAGGTGTGCAGGCAAGAGCGGCCGAGCCTTCGCAGCGGCGCACCGCAGGCGGGTGAGGTGCGCCGGGGGCGCCTCGCCGACGCCGCGCCGCTGCGGCTGCCAGACGGACGGGTGGGGTAGCGGGTTTAAGAGGGCGGTGTTTGGGCCGCCGCGGCGCACCTGGACTGGATGTAGGTGTAGACGCGCTCGTCGGTGAAGCAGCTGCTGCCAAAGTCGATGACCTTGATGGCGCTGCGGTGCTGGCTGCGCAGCAGCACGTTCTCCGGCTTGAGGTCGCAGTGGATGAGCTGGTGGCGGCGCAGGAAGCTGGGGGGACAGGACGGGAGGCGGGTCCAGGGGGTCAGGCGCGAGGGAGCGGGACGGCCGCCGCGCCGCAGTGCAAGGTATCCTGCACCCGGGAGCACCCGGGAGCAACGCCCCAAGGCTCAGGCCGTGAGCTGAGTGCACGGCCAGTCACCGACAAGGCGGCGGGCCCGGTGAGCGGGGCACTCACCTGAGCGACAGCAGCATCTGGGACGCGAAGCGCCGCACGAGGTTGAGGCTAAGCCCCGCAAAGTTATTCTGCTTGATGAATTCGTAGCTGCAGGTGGGGGGACGGGGGCGTTGGCCAAGGGG